AAAGGAAGAGGAAAAAAGGGGAAGAAGGAGATTGGGGGGGGGGCGGCCGAAAGGGCTTTGCCTCCCAGGCTGGTGCCCCCCCCCCAGCAAATAGAAAGAGAGAAGGAAGAAAAGGGAAAGAAAAAAAAGGGAAAAGTGGAGATAAAACGAAAGAAAAGAAGGGGGATATCAGTTGCAGTTTTCCCGCCAACAAGTTCGGGATCGGGGGGGGGGGGCAAATGACTCTTGTCTCCCCCCTTCTACAGCAAACTTAAAAGAGAGAGAAAGGAAGAGAAGGGAAAGGGAAGAAAAGAAAGGTACGGGAGATCAATTATGATTTTTCCCACTAACGCGTTGTGGATGGGGGCGAAGGCCTTCGCCTGCCCTCCCCTTGGCCCCTCAGCAAACAAAAAGAGAGGGAGAGAGAGAGAAGGAAGGAAAAGAAGGGAAAGGGAAAAAGAGAGAAGAGGAAATGAAGAAGAAAAGAAAAATGGGAAAAGAAGGAGATCGGGGGGGGGGCCGAAATGACCTTGCCGCCCATGCTGTTGCCCCCCCCCCCGCAAAACAAGAGAGAAGAAGGAAAAAGGAAAGAAACAAAAGAAGAAAAGAAAAGAAGGGATATCAGTTGCAATTTTACTGCAAACAAGATGTGGATCGCGGAGAAAGGCCTTTGCCTCTGCTGCCCCCCCCCTCCCCTCCCCGACCACCCCCTCCCCGCCAAAAAAAAGGGAGAGACAAGGGAAAGGGAAAAAGGAGAGCTAAAATGGAAAACCAAAGAGGAAGAAAAAAAGAAAAGGGTGAAAAGAAGCAGAGATCAGTTGCGATTAATCCCACCGACATCGTGTGGATCGGGGGAGGGGGCGAAAGGCCCCCGCCTCCCTCAGCAACCTTAAATGAGAGAGAGAGAGAGAGAGAGAGAGAGAGAGAAGTAAGGAAAGGGAAGGGGGAAAAAGAGGAAAAAGAAAGGTAGGGGGAGATCAGTTGCAATTTGTCCCGATTTGTACCCCTCCCCCCCCCCCCCCCCCCAGCAAAGAGAGAGAGAGAGAGAGAGAGAGAGAGAAAGAGAGAGAGAGAAGAAAGGGAAGTGAAAGGGAAAGAGGAGAGAAAGGGACAGAAAACGAAGAGGAAGAAAAGAAAGGAATTAGGGAAGATCAGTTGCGATTTTCATTGGTTCTTCTATCATCATTGTACAACTATCATTGTACAAATGTATCTATATATTCATTTATTTATTCCTGTTTGATAACAAAAATATGAATATAAACTCATAACAGCAACACAATTAAATGTAGAAGGAAACTTTCTTGCTGGGAGCAAGAAGGAGGAGGAATTACGATAGATTTGGATCGATCGTAACTCCTTGTAAGACGGGGCCCTGATGTGTCGTCAGGGGCGTCGCTAGACCTTTTTCAGTAGGGGGGGGGGGGGGTTTAGAGGCCAACGATTACCGACAAAACAAGCCACCAATTACCGACAAAATTAAATGTCCCAATATCTACAAATTTAACCTTATAAACCCGGGGCCGAAGGCTAAATTGTTTTGTGTAAATGGTCATTTTCGTCGACGACATAAATATACAAATTATTTCGTCAACTTAGTAAGCATCATAGCTATATATTTTAATGCAGGCGCGTAGCTAGGATCTTATTTCAGGGAGGGGCGGTATTGAGCAAGCGAATCACTTAAAGAGCGCGCAAAGCGCTCCCAAGGTGGGGGAGGGCATGGGTGAAAGGCTTAGACGTTTCATTAAATTATTATGAAAAGAAGATGATTTGTTGTATACCGTTCTCTACTCTTAACCCTAATTGTCTGAATTCAGTTTCTCCCCCTCTCGCGCGAAGTGCGGGAGCTTCGACGTTTCATTAAATTATTAGAAAAAGAAGACGATTCATTGTACTGACTCTATGTTTCTTTGTCCGATAAAAAGTCACAGTTCCAAGGGGAAAAAATTGTCACACATGCCATAATCGGACATATTTAAAAACTAAAATGTGGCGCACCACCCAAAAAATATAATTCTGAGATCCTCCTTCGTCTTTAATTTACACCAGGAAATAAATTCTTTGTTCCTCGTCTATGTCATCGTGGCGAAAAATTTCAGACTTTTCTTCTTTTGAGGTGCACATGCAGCCTCAGACAAAATTTGTGCCAAATAAGTTTTGTCTTCTTGTGTTCCTGGAAACAAAGTTTTGGGCAATATTTTTCAAGTCGTACGAGATTTATATATGAGTAATATTAAGCTTTGGTTGAGCTTTCTTTGGGTCATTGTTGTTGTGACAGTTGCACTTAATTAAGTTATCACCCAAGTCATTTGTTTCTTGTACTACTGATGCATGACATGAACACACATATATTTGTAATAGCACTTCCTCAGGCAAGGTGCCTAGCATAGCGCCATCTATTGATAACCACTTGATATCAAACACTCAGAAGGCTACAAGAACATGGTTGTGTTGAGGTCCAAGGATCCCCTTTTTGCCAGCGCATCATGGGGATTTCAGTCATAGTTTTGTCATTATGTCAGGCAAAGAGGTTAGTTTTGTTGTATATTGAATCTATTTCTATGAATTGTTGAAACATAAAGTGTAAATTAGTGTGTGTATTTTGTACTTCATACTGAGAGATGTTGATGTTAGTATGTAGTGTAAGACATGCAAGCCCATGCTGGTTTAATATGTACATTTGATTTGATATGAAGAACAATGATGATAGTGAAGATATTGTTAAATACTTTGATGATATATTATGAGAGTGCTGAAGCACTAAGTAGAGATTCAGAATTTATAATTGTTTAGTTCATCGTTTATTCAAGATATAGTGAAGTCTAGTTGAGACACTTGTAGTGATTTGTATTTATGTAAAGCCATTTAATACATATGGACTAGAATAGTGACTGGGGTTATTTAATAATTTATAAAGATCATGACACAATGTACATTCTTTTATGACTTTCTCAAAGAGACTGTGTTTATTGCTATATTGATGATGCTATGATGTACTTATATTTATTATTCTTTATCTGTGATTTATCCACAGTTTTCACGGAATGAATTGGAATGACATGATTACTCCAATTAAAGCTATGAATTCCTGTAGAAGCCGTTGTTCAGACTTTTGATTTAGTATCGACCTCGCTGCAGCCACATTGTACTTATCAGATAAGTTTTGATCCCTTTCAAGACAGACAATGTTCTCTCGCAAGTTGCCGTTGTAACCGGGATGGTAAGGTAAATGAGAAGAAGGATGGGGGGGGGGGGGGGGGGGAGGCTCAAAGATATCTGAGCCCCACCAAAATATTCGGGGGTTTCAATGATATCCAAGATCCACCAAATGTATTTTTTGGGTCAATGATATGCGAGATCCCATGTCTGCGCCCCCCCCCCCCCTCCTCCCAAATAAATATTTATAAAATGTTTATATTTTAATGGTAATTCTGTAGATTATAGGTATACAAGAGTTTCATGCCTAGAATATAATGATTGGGGAGGAGGCGGCTCAATGATATCCGAGCCCCCCCCCCCAATATTTTTTTTTTTTTTTTGGGGGGGGGGGGAGGGGGAGCTGTCCCCAACCCCTCCCCCGGTTCCTAAGCCTATCTACAGGTCAATAAGTCTACTTGTTAAAATTAAAGGGATTGGGTAACTTTGTCACAGGTTCTGAAACAAAATCCAGGAATGATAGTTAGGGCTAGTTCTGATCAGAAAACGACCCAAATATCGGAGTATGGCTAGCTGCCCCAGGGCCTTGTCCTATATAAGGATCAGGGAAAAAAATACTTTAAAAATTTCGGGGGCTACTTTTATGACTTTCGGGGGCTCTTTTTGGCATTTCAGGGGCTATTTCACCCCGAGCCTCCGTGTATTTTTCCCCCTGATACGGATAAGTGAGTGCCCTGATGGGTCCACTTCTTACTCGTGTTTGTAGCCCTTCTTTCTTTACTTTGTCCTTTCCTTTCTTTTTTTTTCAAAGGGGGGGGGGGCGGGTCCGTCGCCCCCCCCCCCCGTATATCCGCGCCGAGTGACACCCACATAAACTAACCTTATTTATTACCGAACAAAAAAATGAAGAAAGAGCCCCTCGACACCATAGGTGTAAGTATTCAGCCAGTTGCTACCCCCGTCCCCCACTTTAAAAGTGAATATTTTTTTTGTTCTAATTTGATACCAGTGATTTTATACAGATGTTGCTGAAATGGCCTAATTTTGCTCGATTTTTCCTCACTTTTTAGTAAATTACACTTTTTATGCGTATGTTGGAGAATGACAAATATCAAAATTTACAGTCAGGCAAGAAATTTGCTTATATACTATTTAGAGGCCTACATGTCAGGTCCCGCTGAACGGCGGGCTTGGGGGCTCAAGCCCCCCCCCCCCCACACACACTTTTGAAAAAGTATATTAAAGAGAATTAAATAGAAAGAAATAGAAAAAAAAAATAGGCTCATGTGACCGTAATTTAATGCCCACACCCCTGAGCTTCCGGGGGCTCTGCCCCCTGGACCCCACCTTGGGACCTAAGACTGGCCCCTGGATGCTAATCTGACCTTAATTTTAATGCCTAAAACCCCTGAGCTTCCGGGGGCTCTGCCCCCTGGACCCCACCTTGGGACCTAAGGCTGGCCCCTGGATGCTAATCTGACCTTAATTTTAATTCCTAAAACCCCTGCGCTTTCGGGGGCTCCGCACCTTGGACCATACGCCAATTAGTGACCTGCTAGTGTCATGAATAAGGTATTAAAATATGCTCATCTGATTGTAATTAAATGCCCCTACCCCCTGAGCATCCGCCAATTTGTGCCACGCTCTACCTTATCTTAGCTAGCCTCCCCCACTCACTTTCAACCCCATTTTTAATCACTTTTATTTCCAATTTAACTCGTTCATTAAACCTCGAAACGCCCCAAAAACTTGGGGCCGGGCCTGTATCATGTGTGTATACTAGAAGTATCTTGGTTGTCCCTCGGACGATCCGTGCGAGCAGAAAACCCGCATATTATGTCCGACGGACAAACGAAACTGGTAGGACAAACGGCGCGGTCACACCGGTCGGGTTCTTGCACACCGCCATAGTATCTGATTGATCTCTGTGAAGAAGCTAGTTGAGCAAAAAAACATGTCGAAGCCCCGCCTTACCTATTTTGCTGGCAGAGGATTCGCAGAAGTCACTCGTTTGGCTTTGAATGCTGCTCAAATTGAAGTTAGTATCATGTCTTCGTAACGTTGCATGAGGTCTTTTAAAAACATTTTATTGCCCCACTGCACTGAAAGTTTTAACTACAAATCAGTCACCTCAGTCCCTTGTACCGATTTGTGTGTATGTGTGTTAATGTTGTGCGGGCTCAGTTTGGTTGTTTTGGAACTAGTACCACAGTCCACAGATCTTTGACATCTTTGGTCATAGCCAATCAATTCTCAATGCTTTTAGAATCTTGTATTTATTATTCGAATTTGACGTTGATATCAGGTTTTATGAAACAAGGCCCAACACAAACAGTTGGATCACTTGCTACAAATCATGTCGAGGTACATTCTAAAGACAAGTCTAGTATTTTAGTATTAACTAAAAGAACAACACTTTATCATGTTTATTATTTGAAATGCGCCCCCTCCCCCCCCCCCAAAAAAAAGGAGGAGCCCAAACAAAACAATGGAAAAAAAAAATCATAAAAACAACAACAATAACAACCATGCAAATAGAGAAAGAAAGGCTGAAAAATTAACGGCTTGAAAGTGGAAGTATGAATTCTTACTGATGAATGTGATTGAGATTTTATGGTAGAAACTAGATTATAGTTTGCCTGAATAAATGTAAGCCGGTTTTTCTCCTGAATTGTGGCAATCATTCTGAAATATTAGTACCTCTGTAGCGCCCGGTTAGAAATGGACATAGTCATAGGCATGTAGCAACACATGTAGATGGCCCTAGTAAGAGTAAGAGTGAAGACCTCAATCAATTTCATCCTCGCCTTTCCTGCCACTTTACATTAGTCACTGACAAATCCTTTTTTCTTGACATGTATTTATGGAAGTAATTGAACCACTGGTAATTACATAAAAAGGGAACTTCTGTATTTTAGTTTGTTTATACATGAATATCAATTCTGTCTGTTTTTCAGTATGATGATGTTTACCTCCGAACCCGTGAAGAATTCTTACAGTTGATCACAGGTAAGGAATCTCTCATTTAGACACTATAGATACCAATCTACATATTCAGGTAAGCCTAAGAGATAGAGGTACAGAGAATAAATTATTTAAATCTTTCATTTTAAGTGTACCAGTCACCAGTACATGTTTTGCTCTTGATGTAGCTGTAAGGCGTATTAGGGATTCCATATGATATTAAAAATATATATTGGAAACAAAAGTATTAGTCATAACAGTTTTGGGGACTTGTCTGGTAGTTGAAACTGGGACCTCTTGTAAGTTGTAAGTTTCTTACAGCCGGCTAAACGGCGATTAAAATAAATAGTGCACCCAATCTTCATTTGTATACTTTATCTGATAATTAATAACAATCATATTTAATTCATAATCTGTATGATGGATGTCTTTTCATGTCAAAAAGGAAAATTGATTAGTTTCACAACAACCATTTGAATATAAATGATGTTGATGAAAGGTCCCAAACAGGACAGTATTTGCTTTTAAACATAAACCTTATTGTTGTAGTGTTTATTATTACAGAGTACTACAGTATACACATATTTTTCAGGTGATTGGTACACTGTAACACTATGTTCTTTACTTCATTCATTACTTTCCTCTCTAACTAAGCTGCTGTGAGAAAACATTGATGATCTTCCATTTTGTGTCTTCCATCATTTTTGTCTCTTTCTTTTTTTACTTTGAATTAGAAATTTAGATGATAGCCATTAGCCAATTAAAAAGAAATTGCTGAAAATCTCTCCATCTCCATATCTCATATCAATCAAAATCATGAATTTCTATCATCCTTCTTGCCTTATACATGTACATTATATTACTATATGCATTATGTCATGTTATTACAAAAAGAAAAAAAAAAGTGTTTCTGCTGGATATAATTTTCCTTCTGTTTTGCTATAAGCACTGCATTGTAACTTGATTTATTCGGTATATAATTTATGTTTCCAAACAGAATATTTATTTGTTGCATTACATTGTAAATTTATTAATTGATTTATATGTTTATAAACAGAATATTGAAGTACATCAATGAAGTTTAATGAATACAATACAATACATGTAATAGTATACAAATAATGAATGGTTATGAGTTCAATAGTGCGAATATGTTCATGAGTTGAAAGATTAACATTCTATTCAACGAGGCGTCAGCCGAGTTGAATAGAATTAACGTTAATCTTTCAACGAATGAACATATTTGCACTATTAAACGAATGAAAAACATTCATTATTTGTTTTATACAACATCGAAGAAGACCTAATAGAACGTTAATCAACAAATTATGCTTTACTCCTTATAAAGATAAATTAAAGTTCGAGTCAAGCCTTCTCGATTACATGCAGATTGCCTTCGCGTCAGATACACGCAGGGATACGCGCACATGCAGCAGAGAGGTACGCAATCTGCATATAACCAAAAATGCACGGCGCATATAACCAAAAATGCACGACCGTGCAATATACCATCTATTGAATATCATGTGACCAACAATCGTCCAATCAAATGACAAGGATCCACGTAGGTGTTGTATAATAACATTTAATGTTACATGCCTTCAAATATCCAATATCCCTGTGTTTTTTTTAAGGTAAATAATTCTACTTTTACCACCTTCCATTTTCATCTCCAAAAGGCTATTTTATATTATTGCATTTCCCTTTAACCATGCAGATGGCAAACTGATGTTCAAGCAAGTTCCTCTCCTGGAGATCGATGGCAAGAATCTTATTGGGAGTGAGTGCGTTCTTCGCTATGTCTGCAACAAGGCTAAACTACAAGGGAAGTCAGATGACGACCAAAGCAAGTAAGCAGTAGGAAGTGGGTTAATTGTTATAATTTTGACCCACATATATACGTACAGAGGAACCTTGTAATAAAGAATACTTACAGCAAATAGAGGATTACTTTAGTAGTCCTGTATCCGATTGGTTTCTTCAGCCCATTGGTCTGAGAATACTAGCTGTAACACAAATATTAACCTCCGAACTCTCATTGTCATAGGTCGTATTTAAGATCCAGTCATGTGATCTTTAGGAGCAGTTAGAACTAAATATCTTATACTTCCCAAGTTCCCATTGATCTAATGCCACCTTGCCCTAAGAGGAAGAAACAATTTGTGTTTTCCCAAGTACAGTTATATTTTCACCAAAACGTTTGTGATCGAGAACCAAAATAAAACCAACTAAAAAATTATATTTCAATATCAAACGATTTACAAAAGGTTAATAATTTCTCTATTGTGTACCGGTACTCATATTTTCTGAATTTTGCACTAGAATGAACAACAAATTTTTCTCAAAGTTTCCAACTTAGCCTAATTTTTCTGTGAAAAGTCAATTCCCATTGAGCATTGCCTTATAAAATTGTATCATTTTAGGATTGAGATGCTGTCGATGGGAGCCAGGGACATGCTGAAGGGGGGATTCAGTGGCGCTAAGTTTCAAGCAACGCCGGAGAAGGAAGAAGAGATGTTGCAGAGCGCAGCCAAGCAGTGCAAGGACAGGTACCTACCGGTCTTTGAAAAGGTGAGTGTGTAAAGGAAACTTAGTTCCAGGGGGGTGTTTCACAAAGATCCGAGTCGAGCTCTCAGTTGGACTTGAAACATTATCTGGTATCTCAGTGGTATCTCACTAGTATCTCAGTGGTATCTCACTGGTATCTCGCTGGTATATCAGTGGTATCTCACTGGCATCTCAGTGATATCTCAGTGGTATGTCATTGGTATCTCAGTGATATCTCAGTGGTGTCTCAGTGATATCTCACTGGTATCTCAGTGGTATCTCAGTGGTATCTCACTAGTATCTCAGTGGTATCTCACTGGTATCTCGCTGGTATATCAGTGGTATCTCACTGGCATCTCAGTGATATCTCAGTGGTATGTCATTGGTATCTCAGTGATATCTCAGTGGTGTCTCAGTGATATCTCACTGGTATCTCAGTGGTATCTCAGTGGTATCTCAGTGGTATCTCAGTGGTATCTCAGTGGTATCTTACTGGTATCTCAGTGGTATCTCACTGGTATCTCACTGGTATCTCACTGGTATCTCGGTGATATCTCACTGGTATCTCAGTGGTATCTTACTGGTATCTTACTGGTATCTCACTGGTATCTCAGTGGTATCTCAGTGGTATCTCAGTGGTATCTCAGTGGTATCTCAGTGATATCTTACTGGTATCTCAGTGGTATCTCAGTGGTATCTCAGTGGTATCTCACTGGTATCTCGGTGATATCTCACTGGTATCTCAGTGGTATCTTACTGGTATCTTACTGGTATCTCACTGGTATCTCACTGGTATCTCAGTGGTATCTCAGTGGTATCTCACTGGTATCTCACTGGTGTCTCAGTGATATCTCAGTGGTATCTCAGTGGTATCTCAGTGGTATCTCAGTGGTATCGTAGTGGTATCTTACTGGTATCTCAGTGGTATCTCAGTGGTATCTCAGTGGTATTTCAATGGTATCTCGGTGATATCTCACTGGTATCTCAGTGATATCTCACTGGTATCTCAGTGGTATCTCACTGGTATCTAAAAATGGTATATCACTGGTATATCACTGGTATCTCAGTGATATCTCACTTGTATCTCAGTGGAACAGTTTTAATTTCTATGTGGTATCTGTATGGTATCACCTGGTACCTCTACAATAGTTATGTGGTACCTCAACAATATTTATGTGCTACCACTTAGTTTCATTTGCGTAACAGCTCAGCAATATCACTGTTGTAAGAAGTGCTATTTGATTGTTATCTGAATGGTATTTCTGTGTTGTTTATTTTCATGCAGGTCTTGGGCGAGAATAAGTCTGGGTTCCTTGTCGGAGATTCGCTCACCATGGCTGACCTCATGTTCTTTGACGGTCTCAGCTACGTGAACGAGATCCCTAAAATCAAATCATTGCTAGATGACTTCCCAAACTGCAAGGTAGGTTGAAGAACTTCATCCTTTGACTACTAAATTATTGCATTCCCATAGGCTTACCCATAATAAAATAATATACCGCTTTTATTTTGCGCTTAATACATCAACGATGTCTCTAAGCACTTTACAGATATATGATCAACCCGGTCATCGGATTTAGACTTTCGCATCCTACCTGGTACCCATATAATACCTGGGGGGAGAGTGACAAATGTAGATTTACGACTTGCCAAAGGACGTTAGTGCCGGACTGGGATTTGAACCCTGTATCTTGTGATCTGCAGTCGGGTGACTTATCCACTAGACCGCAACACCTCTAATGTAATGGTCCCATATTCGTACCAGAGAAAACTTGTAAACAATTTCATTTGTTGTCTGATAGAGATATTAGGAATAGGATAATTTATGTCATATTATATATTGATGAAAAATATTCGGAAAATCGTCTGTATAACTGTACTGCCCATTCATTTAAAGCACCACTGTACTACTTGTAAATACTTGCTCCCTCTAAATAGAAAACTTTCCCAATCTGTGCCTGTTGGTCCCCCATGATCTTTTTCTTATGTTAATTGAGAGCCGAGTTGATGAGATAGCCACCTGCCAGTGAACCTCGCTGGGTGGTCTAATCCCTTCTGGTCGAACTAGTACAGACAACCTTTAAGATCAGTGCTCAAGGTGGGGATGCATGGGTGATGAGTCATTAAATCAGTCTTTTTTTCCCCTTCTTTTTTGTGTCACAGGCCTTCATTGTCCATTTCTCCAGCCAGCCAGGGATTAAAGAGTACCTTGCTAGCCCTAGGCGCCACCCTCCTCCCAACGATGAGTATGTGCGGGGTGTCCGCAAAGTCCTGAACCCACCAAGTTCCTAAGACATGTGTGCTTTGTGTGTTGGCACTGTTGTGTGTGCCTACATTTATGTGTGTTCTAAGCAAGTTTGACAATCACAGTGGATCCATCTCGTATTCACTGCCTTTCAGTAACAAGCAATCTATGTCCAGGGTTTTATAAGTGTTATATGTCAAAGCTCAATTTAACTTGCAAGTTAATTTGCATGGAAGCTGAAAAATAAGAGAAACAGAATGGCAACCATTTTGAATTAAATCAGACCAGGAGTTATGAAAGTTTGAAATATGAGATCACTAAATCTATCCAAATCTTAAGTTGGCAATGTGGTCAGTGGATTATGACTTAGTCATGGATAACTTCCTTGTTGTCAAGTACACAAAATATTAATTGTTTCTGTTTTTCTTCTAAGTGCCTTCTCCCTTTGGCTACTACACAAGATATAATATGGACAGCATATAATATATTTTTTTCCAAAAAGAAGAAAATAAAGAAGAAAACCCTCCTGAATAATACATTTTGAAGAATTTTTTTTAAAAAGTTGTCCGGTACTACATTGTAGTAACATTACTGATTCAGCCAGTTTGAAGTGTCCCTAGGTATGTACATGTATGTAGCGATTACAACTATCAAAATGTATAACTTTCTGATTTCTTTTAGAATAATTGTCTACTAAGGTTGGATTTTCCTAAGAGGCTCTATAAGTGTCACTGAGGTGTAATGAGGCTATTATGATAGTTCTGGAAGTGGTCCAAGCATATGGTCAATGTGGCTGTTTTTGTATACATTCTATAGTTTGTTTTGCATATATTGGAAATGATAGTAAATCCATGTTTTCATATATATATATAGGTTTTCCAAACATAAAAAGTACATCTGCCTAGATAAAACACAATTTTCAGTACTTATCAATCATCATATTCCACAGTATTTGTTAATTGTTATCATTTTAAATCCTTAAATCATGTACACGTATATCTGTTTGTAACTTCAAAAGCATGCAGCTGTATGAGACTTTAATAAAGAAACAAAGAAACTATTCAATTTATCCAGCATTTCTAGTGGTTATCTTTTGTCTTTTGTTTTTATGGAAGAAAATCTCCTTTTTTGTCGCCCACATACAGGTAACCACTAAATTATTCATACCCTTACCAAGTTTTGTAATTTTTAGAGTATGTAAAAAATTGATTTGTTCTAATTCATGTTTCTTGATAATGTGACATTATTCAACAAAAGCCCTTATTCAAACATCTTTCATTCTTGAGTTATGAAAAACACAAAAAACTTTAAATTTACAAGGGGTATGAATAATTTTGTTGTTAACTTTATATATTTAAAAGGTAATACAAAGTTTTGGTATTGGTTATGAATTTGGTTCAAATAAACATATTGGAAGCATATGCGATCCTACAGTATTTAATGATCGTTGTCATGGTTGAAATTGAGTCTAAAGTGATGAGATTGAAAATTATAAACTATTTATGTTGTATAGCTCCCTCTAAAAAGATTGATATTACTTTAGCTTCAAAACGATGTTTCTTGACTAAAATGACCTGATTTCTATTCTTATTTGGATATCATATATCAGGACTGCATATTCCGAGATTGTCATGGTCGCAGCTACCATTGTATGGCAGTAGGAGCTTTTTGAAATTAATCGGGAGCACCAATAAACAAATTAGCCCGCTATTTCCCAAATTGCAGGATATTTTGGAAACAAGACCATGATTTCTCAGGATATTTTCTCTACCAATATCCTACTTATTGCAACTGCAGGCTGATGAAGACGCAAATTACCCCAAACTTTAAATCAATCTGACAAATTTTGAGAAGAGTGGTCCAGAGCTAGACACATATGGGGTTCTTGTGCACCATCTCCCCTATCTCCTGGTGTAAATAACTAAGAAACAGAAATGTCGGCGTAATATAGGGAGGGGGTGAATTTCCCCCTACCCCGCGACCACTAACCACCAAGGCGGTGATCATTTCCTAAAAATTTTGAAATTATCCCAAATTTTAAATCAATCTTACAAATTTTGAGAAGAGTGTTCCAGAGCTGGACATATATGGGGTTCTTGTGCACCATCTCCCCTATCTCCTGGTGTAAATAACTAAGAATAACTAAGAAACAGAAATGTCGGCGTAATTGTAGGGAGGGGTGGGGGTGAAGTTCCCCTACCCCGTGACCGCTAACCACCAAGGCGCTACCCGCGACCACTAACCACCAAGGTGGTGATCATTTCCTGAAAATTCTGAAATTATCCCAAACTTTAAATCAATCTGACAAATTTTGAAAAGAGTGTTTCAGAGCTGGACATATATGGGGTTCTTGTGCACCATCTCCCCTATCTCCTGGTGTAAATAACTAAGAAACAGAAATGTCGGCGTAAGGTAGGGAGGGGGGGGGGGGGGGGGGGGGGGGGGGGGGGGGTGAAGTTCCCCCTACCCCGCGACCACTAACCACCAAGGCGATGATCATTTCCTGAAAATTCTGAAATTATCCCAAACTTTAAATCAATCTGACAAATTTTGAGAAGAGTGTTTCAGAGCTGGACATATATATGAGGGTTCTTGTGCACCATCTCCCCTATCCCCTGGTGTAAATAACTAAGAAAAAAGATTGTCTGCGTATAAGGTAGGGAGGGGGAGGGGGGGGGGGGGGTGAAGTTCCCCTACCCCGCGACCGCTAACCACCAAGGCGCTACCCCGCGACCAGTTCCTGCAAATTCTGAAATTATCCCAAACTTTAAATCAATCTGACAAATTTTGAGAAGAGTGTTTCAGAGCTGGACATATATGAGGGTTCTTGTGCACCATCTCCCCTATCCCCTGGTGTAAATAACTAAGAAAAAAATTGTCTGCGTATAAGGTAGGGAGGGGGGTAAAGTTCCCCCTTACCCCGCGACCACTAAGTTCGTTGACCTCTTAGTGGTCCCAAAGTAGCAGTCGCCAAAGTTGGCTCTAACTAAAAATAAACATGTCGAAGCCCCGCCTTACCTATTTTGCTGGCAGAGGATACGCAGAAGTCACTCGTTTGGCTTTGAATGCTGCTCAAATTGAAGTAAGTATCATGTCTTAATAACATTGCATGAGGTCTTTTAAAACACTTTATTGATATGACCCACTGCACTGAAAGTTTTAACTGCATATCATTATCAGTCACCTTCTCCTCAGACCCTTGTACCGATTTGTGTGTGTGTGTGTTAATGTTGGTCATAGCCAATCAATCTCAATGCTTTTAGAATCTCGTATTTATTATTCGAATTTGACGTTGATATCAGGTTTTATTAAGGCCCAACACTAACAGTTGGATCACTTGCTACATGTCGAAGTACTACTAGATCTACTACACTAGATTCTAAAGACAAGTCTAGTAAAACTAAAAGAAAGGCATTTTATCATGTTTATTATTTAAAAGGCGCCCCTCCCCCTCCCCCCAAAAAGAGGAGCCCACACACAAAAAACAAAGCAACAACAAGCATGCAAATAGAGAAAGAAAGGCTGAAAAATTAATGGCTTGAAAGTGGAAGTATGAATTCTTACTGATGAATGTGATATGAGATTCTATGGTAGAAACTAAATTATAGTTTGCCTAGATCTTAACTCTTTGCCCGCCACGTACACAATCCCCCCTGTGCCACATTGTTCTTAGGGTGCCACCTTAGGAGGGGTTCTGCATGGACTATGCTTATTCAACTCGCAATAACTTTTGATTGGTGTACTAGCTGTAATGAAAAACTTTGTGTAGCAATATTGTATAGAAATTAATAGTCTTGCCAATGGTATCATTTTTGTAATGTATATTATCATAAATTTTGAGATTATCAACTATACATTTTGTATCCAAGTTTTTGTTTAGAAGGGTATTCTATACCTCTTATATCTATTACTTTGTTATGGAGGTTTATGTCCTGAGTTAGTTCATTGAAAAGATGTATTCATGAGCTTTCACTACATACCAAATTCATGTGTTGAAGGTCACAATGAGCCTGGTAATTTAGGATTGAATAAAGAGTAAGCCGACAATGAATAATCTCCTATTGAAATTGACCCTGGGTACTTTTGAATAGACTTCCTGTCTCTTGATTGTACTTTGATGACCTTTATTGTGTCTGTAGGTAAGATGGTGTAACATTCTATTATTACTTGCAAGGCTGTGCAAGCTATTAAAATTGAAAGAAATGAATAGAAGAACTTATTGATTTTCTACACTAATAAGGCAAGCCATGAACATAATGTATGCTTGAAACATGTACTAAGTTATGAATTGTAGAAAGCTGATGTATAATAAATAAGAATAAAATATATTCGTCTACATATGTAGTCTCATATTGACATGTTCATTATAACAAGAGGTAGACAGAGAGAGGGAGAGAGAAAGAAAGAGAATAAGAACGAAGAGACAGGCAGATTGGGAAAGAAATAAGAAGAGACAGGGAGAGATAGAGAGAGAGAGAGAAAGAAAGAGATATAAGCAGATACAGAAAATGAGAGTGAGAAGATAGAGATAGAGGGGGAGGGGAAGAAGAAAGAGACAGGCAGATAGGGATATAAATAAGAAGAGACACGGAGAGAGAAAGACAGATAGGCAGACAGAGAAAGACAGAGGCAGGTTGAGATAATGAGAGTGAGAACAAGATAGAGAGAGGCAGAGAGAGGGGAGGAAGAAAGAGACGGGCAGATAGGGAGAGAAATAACAAGAGACAGGGAGAGATAGAGAGAGAGAAAGAGAGAGAGAGAAAGAAAGAGATAAGCAGATACAGAAAGTGAGAGTGAGAAGATAGAGATTGATAGTGATTGATGTCCACGCCATTATCATGTTCTGTGGGATTACGCAAAAGTGTACGTGTGGGACCAGGCTCATCTTCCTCGTCAGAGTCAGTCTCGCTCTCCTCTGAATCAGAGTCGGCTGTTGGAACAGGGTCCATCACAAGTTCTCGTACGTGATCAGCAGTGAAGAAGTCCCGTCTCCTCCTAATAGGGGCCATCCTAGCTCATCAGAATATTTGCAAAAGCAGTTTCAAAAACTCAATTTTTCTCGGAAAATGTCAATGTAAACAATGTCTGCGAAAGCGGTGCAATGAAGTGTGATGTGTATACAATGCGAAGCACGCGTTACTATTGTGTGTGTGTGCGTACAATAGAATTAAATGCGTTCCGTGTGTATAATGAATGAAATGTGACTTGAGTCGAAGATGGCAGCCCGCTGTATGTTCCACTAGCCGAACGAAGCGGGCAAAGAGTTAATAAATGTAAGCCCGTTTTTCTCCTGAATTGTGGCAATCATTCTGCCATATTAGTACCTCTGTAGCACCTGGGTAGACATGGACATATAGTCATGCATATCAACACATGTAGATGGCCCTAAGTAAGAGTAAGAGTAAGAGTGTAGACAATTAGACATCAATCAATTTCATCATCGCCTTTCCTGCCACTTTACATTATAGTCACTGACAAATAATGGTTTCTAGACATGCATATATGGAAGTAATTGAACCTAGCCTTAAGGGCTCGCTGGTAATGTTTTTATGATATTGATACCAGCTAGCCTTAAACGGCTCCCATGGTAATTACAGAAAATGGGAACTTCAGTATTTTAGTTTGTTTATACATGAATATCAATTCTGTCTGTTTTTCAGTATGATGATGTTTACCTCCGAACCCGTGAAGAATTCTTACAGTTGATCACAGGTAAGAAATCTCTCATTTACACACTATAGATCCCAATCTTCATATTAAGCCTAAGAGATAGAAGTACAGAGAATAAATTATTTAAATCTTAAAGGGACTTTGTAACATTGTTCAGATGAGAGATAGTGGTGTTAAGGTAGTGACTTCAATGCTAGATGTACAATTAAAGATAATCTGGAAATTTGAGAGAAAACGGATCATTATTCATGGTAAAAATTGGGAAAAAACTGATCTGATCGGTTCCTTAATTTCTCCCAACTATATTATTCTAGGTCTACTTCTATTCTGCTACTTGTCAAAGCCTTTTCAGCATCAAGACAAGGACAATTTAATTACATTTTAGGTGAATGTAAATCGTCACAAA